CAGGAATCTGTGCTGAACTGCCTAGTAGATCTTGGCTTGCCCCTTTTCCATTTTATAGCTGGATTTATGTGTTTTCATGTTAACATAACCTTCATTTATTCACATTCAAGGAAGAAGTGGGTTATGAAGTCCAGCTAGTCTTGCATGGTCTTTCCATGAAGCAAGATGTCTTAAAGATCTGAAAATGTTTAGCAGATTTGGAAAAAAATGAAGTTCAAGAAAGATAAAAAAAAAGATAAGTTACTGCTTTCCTTAAAAACAGATACAGGTTGAATTTATTGAGATTTCATTTCCTTCTACTGCACACAATTTGTTAACTTTAAAAAGAATGGCATTTCTTCCTGGGAGAAAATAGGAATAGGGTCACTGTTTTAAAGTATGTTCAAAGTAGCAAATGAGATGAAATGCCTTTTTAAAGTCCCTGTGACCTTCATTCCCTACCAGAGGTTCCAAAACACAGATGGCACGAGAAGGTTTGGTGAGTGGTCTGCAGCTGGTCCTCAGAGCTTCTTAATCCATGAATTTGATTGCTCATTTATACCATGTAATTATGTTGGGAGCCTCTGAGAAGGTCTGAAGATTAAGGGTGGTTTGCCTGCCAAGTTTCAGGGAGCCAAAGCCCTTCTGTGTCTGCGATGCTTTTCAAACCCCTGAAACAGGATGCTAGGTTCTTTCTAGCCGAACAGGCACTGCAAACAGCGGGTAAATAAAAGCATGATCATCCAAGACCCCGTGTTCAGGAGATTATTGACTTACTTCACTGCTGAGCTGCACCCCAAGCGTGCATGATTCAGACTAAATGAAAGACAAAAAGATCTATCGCATGCCAGTGCTGTGGTCTTGTTTTTATGACTATGAAAATGTAATTTGAAAAGTGTAATAGTCTGTAAAACAACGTTATTTTTAAAAGAGTACTGTCAGCAAAGACCAAAAGTCTCGGTGACACCTGGGATGTAAGTAAACTTCAGAGTTCACGGCTTTCTCCTGTTTTTCGGGGAGCTAATTTTAGAAGCTGGGGAAGCCTGGCTACGAGGTGCCGCGAGGCAGCAACGGGGCAGCGGGCTCGGCCGCGCCCTGGGAGCGGGGCCGGGGAGAGGGACGGGG